AATTTATATTTGCAAAAATATAAAAATTAATTTTAAAAAAAAATTCGAAGACAAATAATATAAATTAACAAAAAATATATCTGCAAAGAAGATAAGAAGAAAGTAATGAATGAAAATACATATTGTTGGGGTAATTGATGAAATTTAAAATTTAAAAATATAATTTTTAAATTTTAAATTTTATATTAATTTTTTTCAATTCCATTTCTATATCGTCCAAAAAGATAAAAATTGTTTAATTTAAGTATTATTGATGTGGAATAATAAGATTATAAGTGGAATAAATGTAATATTTTTGTCCGAAAATAGACCAATTGCTTTTTACTACACTTTACAACATTTTCATTTTTTCCTCTCTTTCTCTCTCTCTCTCCCTTTCTCTCTCTCTCTTTCTCTCTCTTTCCCTTTCTTTTACCAATCATTTTTGGTAATTTAGAGAAATTTTTAGTTCGAAAAGAAAAGCTGATCAAAGAGAGAGAGAGAGATAAATGAAACATAGAAAAGGTAAAATGAAAAGAAGAAGAGGTGATCGAAGAGAGATAAATGAATGATAGAAAATGTAAGAGAGAGAGAGAGAGAGAGAGAGAATGAAAATTGTTAAAAGGGTAAAGTTGGATGAAAAGATTGGAGATATACAACATGTTATATGTTATTCAAGTATCGGTGAACAATCTTCAAAAATCCCTCAGAATATTTTTTCTACGAAAAAACGAAAAAATTTATTTTACAATTTCTTTCTTTCTTTCTTTCTTTTCTTCCATATCTTTTAAAGATGAAAAAGAGAGAGAGAGAGAGAGAGAGAGGGAGAGAGATGACGAAAAACTTCGATGAAATGTGTTGAAATAAAATGTAATTTTGAAATGATACCTTTAAAACTTTCTCTTTGTTTTTTTTTTTTTAAATTGAAAAGTTTGAAATTTAAAAAAAAAAATTTTCTTTCATTTTTTTTTTCCGTTCCAATTGAATTTATCAAAAAGCACAAGTAATTAATTATCTAAAATATGAGGAAAACAAAAGCAAATTGAAAATTTGAAAAGAATTGAAGAAAAGAAAAAACTTTTTTTCTTTTTGTTAATTATAGACAGAGAAATTGAAACAAATGCTTTTGTAGTATGATTAATGAGTATGTTAATTGAAATTTAAGAGTATATTTAATTATTGATTTCGTTTCTTTTTTTGAAGCCTTACACCACTTATCACAAATCATTTTCTTTTTCTTAAACTAATTTATAAACTAACTATTATTTATTTATTTGGAAAAGAAAAAAGAAACTATATAATTAATTAATATCGTATCGTTTTCTTAATTTGAAATCATTTTCTTTTCTTAAACTAAATTATATACTAACATTTATTTATTTATTTGCAAAAGAAAAAAGAAATTATATAATTCATTAGTGTTACATCTTATATAATTAATTAATACGGTGTCGTTTTCTTAATTTAAAAATTAAAATTTTTATTATTTAATTTTATTAATATAATTAATTAGTGTTGTACCTTATATAATTAATTAATACTGTATCGTTTTCATAATTTGGAAGTTAAAATTTTTATTATTTAATTTTATTAATATAATTAATTAGTGTTGTATCTTATATGATTAATTAATATTGTATCGTTTCCTTATTTCATAAATTAAATTTTTTATTATTAAATTTTATTAAGCTTTGTTTTTCAAAGGAAAGAAAAATGATAACATATATTACATGTTAAACTTTTCTTTTTTAGAAATACATTTCAATTATAAATTTATCACATTAAAATTTTTATAATTCTTTGATAATAGTAATTTATCATTTTAATCAATGATAGTGATACAGTGATTATATTCAATAGACGAATATTTTATGTATATATACATGTATGCGTTTACCTGTGTGTATGTATGTATGTATAAGTATGTAATATGTATGTGTGCACCTATGTATATGTATTGTATTATGTATGTATGTATATATATGTGTATGTGTGTGTATGTAACATATGTGTGCACGTATGTATATGCATGTGTATGTGTGTGTTCGTGTACATATACACATATATGTGTATGTGTCTGTGTATATATAAGTGTATTCATTTGTATGTGTGCACATATGTGTATGTCTATATATAAATGAATTGATAAAATTCGCTTTAAATAATTTCATTACATAAAAAATTTCTGAGAAGCGATAGAATTTCAAAAAAGAAAATTACATGGTAAAGTTCTCGGGAACTAATCGATTTATCGATTAGTTCCCGAGAATCATTGATAAATTTATGATTCATCGACAAAAAGATAAATGAAAAATTTTTGCAACGATGTAAATAAACTATCATTAGTCAAAAAATTCACTATGAAATAATCTTGTATATCTTAATGAAATCATTCGAGAATGATTAGGAAAGTAATAAATCTTCGAGGGAGAAACAGAAGAACAGCAAAAAATAAGAAACAACAGTATTAGCAAGGATTTCTTAATATAGCTAATTATTGTTTAAAAATATTAATTTAAAATAATTTTATAAAATTTCATAAAAATTTATTTAATCTAACTAATCAACAATTTTCTTTTATTAAGTGCAAATTGTATAATTTTAGAAAAATATTAATTCGAATCATTATTTTGTAATATAAAGATATGAATTTAAATATAATATTATCAAATTTTACGGGAAAAATTTACTCAATTAATTAAATAAACTTTAAATTAGAAATTAATTAAAAGGGAAAGTATATATTATAGCCAATAATGAAAATAACAGACCCGAGACAATCCTTTTACAACAACCACACCACATGAATTTGAAGAAATAATATTAATAATATTCATTTTAAAATATTTTATATAAGGGAATTTTTTTCTATGCAAATTTTGATTGATTTATTTTAGAGAAAATACTTCAGGTAAATTAAAACAAACAATTCTTGTATGATAGAAATGATATGAACTGAAATAAACAAATTTACATATTTACAATATGTTTATAAATCATTCATTCGCCAATTTACTATTCTCTCAAAGATTTACTTAATTTCATACTTATCTGTTATGATTCTCTTATCATCACAATCTACTGATATTTGATAATTTATTTTTATTAACGTAATTACAAAAATTCAGAATGATTAGTTAATCAACTAATCAATTCTTAGAAAGATTTCTGAACTTAAANCTAATTATTGTTTAAAAATATTAATTTAAAATAATTTTATAAAATTTCATAAAAATTTATTTAATCTAACTAATCAACAATTTTCTTTTATTAAGTGCAAATTGTATAATTTTAGAAAAATATTAATTCGAATCATTATTTTGTAATATAAAGATATGAATTTAAATATAATATTATCAAATTTTACGGGAAAAATTTACTCAATTAATTAAATAAACTTTAAATTAGAAATTAATTAAAAGGGAAAGTATATATTATAGCCATTAATGAAAATAACAGACCCGAGATAATCCTTTTACAACAACCACACCACATGAATTTGAAGAAATAATATTAATAATATTCATTTTAAAATATTTTATATAAGGGAATTTTTTTCTATGCAAATTTTGATTGATTTATTTTAGAGAAAATACTTCAGGTAAATTAAAACAAACAATTCTTGTATGATAAAAATGATATGAACTGAAATAAACAAATTTACATATTTACAATGTGTCTAGTAATATTGTTACGATTATTTATTATGATTATTTATTATTATGATTATTATTAATTATAATTTCAAAAAATTTCCACCTCTACAACTGAAAAGGAAGGAAAGTAACATCTATGTTATAAAGAAAGAAAACGAAAAATAAAGAAACATTATTTTATTATTATTATTAATTATTATGATTATTGATTATTATGATTATTAATTATTATGATTAACAATTTTTGAATAAATTTTTACTTGAAAATACTTTTTGTTGATAACTCTTATCATTCATAAAAAGAAAAACAAATGATATATGAAATTAAATAATACTAAAGTATCAAATTTCAATAACTAAAACAAAACGCATCAACAATTTTAACATAAAATATTCGACGAAACTAAATAAAGCGAATTAATTATTGCTGATATTATTAGTATAAAAATGGAATTAAAATTTTTTTTTCCTTCCTTTGTTTTCCTCTACTAATTAAAGTGAAAGTACCATTCATTTTTGTTTTCCTCTACCAATTAATAGAAAGTACCATTCATTTCTATTAATATTTCTTCTACCAATTAAAGTAAAAGTACCATTCATTTCTTTATTTTCCTCTACTAATTAATACTTCATCTACTAATTAATAGAAAGTACCATTTATTTATTGAATGTAATATTTGAGAAAGTAATGAAAATTTGAATAGCAATAAAATATTCGACGCTTTAATTTTCTTTTTTAACTTCGTCACTTAAACAAATTCTTTTCACTTAAAAATAAACAAAACCTGTTGAATGAATGGTAAAAGAGAGTGGAAGTGGTTAAATTCGTGCTTAGGTTTAATTTTAAATGGTACAAATTCTTAGATTTGCTATTACAATCATTATTGGCATTGAGTTGATGATGTTTTATTGGTGATATTCATCTTCACGTACATATGATATGATCGCAGATACTCATTCTTTTTCATTTGCAATTCATTTTTTATAGTTGACACAAATCTACTACGTTGATGTTTGATGGTGGAACATTCAGATGAAACAACTTTATTTGAAATTTATTCAAATTTAAAGATGTGAAGAAAAAAAATAGATCGTCCATAATATTCGTACATAAGAAAGAAGGGAAGGGATTCGAAAATTTAAAATTTCAATTTAATTCAAAAAATTTCATACTCTTTTTTAATATTTCGATTTTATTGGGAAAAGGAGAGAGAGAGAGAGTGAGGTAAAAATAAAAATTTCATATGAGAACAACGAAAGTCTAGCTAATTAATTATATTATAATGTTTGATAAAAATTTCATCCTTTCTTTTTGACAATTTTTGAAAGGGAAAATTCATAAATTAATTAATTATAATTCAACACTCAAAATAATCTTTTACATTTATCAACGGAAACTTCAGCTTTCTCACATTTAAATTCCGGATAATAATTTTCAATAAATGCACAATTTAGTATTACATATTCTTTAATATCTGTGAAACCAAATTGTTGTGCCAATGATCGAATGTTGTAACAATGACGGCGAAATATCTGCAATGATTATTGGATGTTAATTTGAATCCTTTTTTTTTTTAATACCATAATATATTTTATCCTTCATATTATTGAATTTGAATTATTATGTCATTTTTACAAGAATTTTCAGGAATTTAAATTTTAAATATTAGGTTAAAAGTATGGGTAATAAAAAATTTCACGAATGACTGATATTGCTTTATGAAAAATTTATCCATGAATCTCTCTCTCTCTCTCTCTCTCTTTCTCTCTCTCTATATATATATATATATAAATTATCGAATCTCAACTTGATGACACCTTTTTTCGTTTCTTTTTTAAAATGCATCAAACAAGGTGCACTATGAACTTACTTCTTTATTCATATCGTCATCCCTACTTGTCTTCTGTTTCATCGATAATAATAACTGTTTCCGCTCCGCAAATCTCTTTCTGTCAGCAGCCATTTTACGTCGTAATGCTAAGATTCGTCGCATTTTTTGATTATTACCCATAAATGCAGTATTTGCATCATTTTCAACCTGAAATAACTTTCCTGTAACATAAATGAAATTTTGGTCTTAAAAGCAATTTATGATAAATTGAACCATGAAATTTATTCAATCAATAAATACTACTAAAGCTAACTTTTTCTCGAGAAAGCATTTTAGCTCGAAATTTATTAGTTCGCTTGGGAGTTGTCATCGTTTTCTCTTCAATATCTCTTCTATCAGTTGCTATATTGTCGATTTCCTCATATTGTTTAAAATTCTAAAGCAATTTATAGGCAAATATATGTGATGAATCGGATTGAATGTCAGAAATTAAATCAGCCGTATATTAACTTGATTAAATGATAATTGATTGGATGAGGAATTTGAAATTTCTCTCTCAACAGCAAAATATTTTGGGATTTTAGCAAACTGATTGTATGGTGTCACTGATATTATCCCTTGAAATTTGGTAACTTCATGTTGATCATTTTCAGCCATATTTTCTTGTGAGAAGTTGGCATTAATTTCTTGCTGCAAAAAATTTAATTTTGTAAAATCAAAATGTTTGACATCTAAAATTATAAGCAATGTGCGATCATGCATGATCATGCATGTCATTTTTTTGCAAAAACATAGCGATATATTACGTAACAATTCCCAGGTATAAGAAATTAAGAAAACTTTTTTTATTGATTCTTAAAATTTGATTAAATTTTGTTATTTTTTAAAACTTTTGTTTCAACCAGAAAATGAATAATTAGTTTAATTAGCTATAGTACAAACCGGTTTCTCCTTCAAATCGAATTTGTTCATTGCATTATAACTTTTAAGTTCCTTTTTGTATACTTTACGATAAGGGGACGATGTTCTTGCTTTACTTTTAATTCCAAGAATTTCAATCGATGAATCATCTGGTACAATGACCTGTATGAATGACTTAATCCTCTTTTTAATGAATCTTAAATTTAATTCATAAATGATCAAAGATATTGAATGAATTTTAAAAAGTGAAAATTCTTGTGAAAAATAAATAGGTCATCACCGTGTTTCGTTAATGAAAATAAATGACAAAATGAAACAATGAGCAATAAGAATTACAAATATATTTGAGCATTTCAGTGTATTATTTAATATTACACCGAAATCGGTGAAGTAATTAGCTGGTAATATAAAAAACAATATGAAATTAACTAATCTTATTTATTAAATAATGTATTAAATAATAATGTGAAATAATATAATAATTAATATAAAATAATGTGCTTCAAAAAAGAATAAGCAAATTCTAGCGTTCAAATTAATTCCGATGAAAATTTTTGAACATTTAAGTTAAACATTAATTAAATAAATGTCCACAAAGTATTACTTGCTGAAGTTTAGCAGCTTGAGTTTGCACATCTTTTGCAGCTTTCATATGTTGCGCATAAATACGACGATAATGCATTTCTTCATTTGATTCATTTGATATATTTGATACTTTATCATCGTTTCCATTTTTATCAATCACTTCACTTGAATTTTTCGCAATCATACCATCACCATCCATTGTTATTTCCTTAACATTAATTGTTTAATGATGAAAATAAAATATATTGTCTTTGTTAAAAAGTGGAAAACATTAAAAGAAAAAGGAAAATTTTTTAATGAAATTAGATGAGATCTACGACAAATAGGATAATACAGTATGTAATGTAGGTTGGTTGTAAATTCTTGCAATGATAATTGGAATGATGCAGTATGTAGTACAAGGCTATAAATTCTTACGATAATTGAGATAATATATGATATAAGCTAACTTGTGCATCTATTTCGCTTTGTAATGGTGTAGCCATATATAATTGTCCACCAAAAATAATCATTTTTGGTTGACCACTATATGATGAAACACCGAACGGTTGATAATATCTGAAAATTTTGAACTCTATTTTTTATAATATTTTCAATATAAAAAAAGGCGTAAAAATTTTTGAGAAATTTTTTCAAAAATGCCGAAAATATGAAAAACTTACAAATGACCATCTTTGATTACAGGTTGAAAAATGATCAATTGTTGTTCAGATTGCAAAATGGCATCTTGTTGTTTGAACGCACTATGATTTGAAATAATTTGTGATGAGTTTACAGAATTGCTATAATTAAAATTTATAAGTTTATTTTTTTTCTTAATTAATACCTTAATAACGATAAAATCATCAGAACAAAAGAAATTATGGTAATTAGAGTTAAAAAAAAACCCAAGTTTATTAGCAAAAAATAAAAGAACATCAGAAAAACAAAAGAAATTATGGTAATTAAAGTAAAAAACCAAAGTTTATTAGCAAAAGAAAAAAAGATAGTAACAGATAGTTCGAATATTTAGTACTTTAAAATTCTTAATTCTCATTAATTTGTCATTTCTTCATTCGACATTTATTTCCGATTCTCTTCAGCTGACAACAAAAAACGAGGTAAATAATACCTAATTTAATTTTGCGAAAATTTCAAATGAAATTATGAACTATTCTAAACAAAAGAATTAAAATGTCATCATATCACTTCACACATACCGATATCATTCCAATCGGGAAAGAAATTAAGAAAATCGTTAATAAACTTGCCCTTGTTCTGGAACAACTATAGCTGATAAATCATTAGCTGAATTAGATGCAATCGATGATGCATCTTCCTACAATTACTGTCATCTTCAACAATGAAAAAAAATCATAAATTAATTTTGTAACATTTTAAAATCGTTTATTTTATTGTCTTAAGATAAATTATTACACCATTACTTCCAATTATAAATGATAAATCAAAAATTTCAAAAATTGTTAACTTATTCAAAAATAATTCAATAAGTATGTTTCATCGTTTTTCTTAAATTTTCATTAAAATATAGTTATCGTAAAATATTCACCTGAATAAAAGCAGATCCTGTACCATATTCTGTATTTACTACATATGACATATGTGGCTTAGACTTGAACCTAGAAGTAAAACTATTAACATGCAACAATATCGAAGATATATCAGCGTTAAAATTTTTTCTAACCAATAATTTGGAAGTGGTTTAGCTGTTGTTGGTTCATAATCAATAAATCCAGCTTGAGCTGCTAATCGATGAACAAAATCCGGTGGAATATGAAAAAGTTTTGAAAGTCTTTCTTGGATGCCATTTGAAATGTTCGATCGTGATGCATCATCAGAATTATTTGGTGATGGTGTAGTAGTCGGTACCGCCGCTACAACATCAAGAGCACTCTGAAATATTTAATTTAAATTTTAAAAAGAGATCATTTCAAATTAAAATTATAATCGGTTGAAAAAGAGAATGAATAAAATAATTGAAAAAATATATTTTAGTATAATTGGAAAAAATACCGATATCTAATACGATTGGAAATTATTTCTCTTAAAATATTTTTACTTTATTTTCTTATAACACAAAAAAAAATTTGAAATTTCAATAATGATTGATTAACTAAATTTATTGTTTAAGAAAAATGACAAAATATTCATACCCGAATTACTTTCTTCAAATCCAAAAATGGCTTTTCTTCAGCTAAGACAGCTATTTGTAATAATAGAAATATAGCTATTTTTCCAAGCATCTAAATTGAATCCAAGATGTAAAAAGCATTCATAAACATTAACAGTATAGCAGGCATATATTTTCCGGTTTTCCGGATAAAATACATCAGGGGATATTAAGCATTATGGAGAAAATTCCGCATTTTCAAGTGTTAACAGAAGCACAATTATTGCATTAATAATATTTCATAAATTATTAGAAAATATATGTGTTATCACTTTAATAATATAAAACAATAAATTTCATTAAACTTTTTTTTTAATTTAATGAAATTTATTGTCTTATATTATTAAAATGATAATACATATAAAAAAAGCAAAATTAAATTTTTTGAAAATGTTATACATATACAAAATAACA